GCTCAACGGGTAGTGATCAATGGCTCCATGTCTAGTTGGCAGCCGGTATCAAGTGGTGTGCCCAAGGGTCGGTCCTGGGGGGTTTTGTTCAATATCTTCATAAATGATCTGGAGGATGGTGTGGTTGCACTCTCAGCAAATTTGGGATGATACTAAACTGGGAGGAGTGGTAGATACGCTGGAGGGGAGGGATAGGATACAGAAGGACCTAGACAAATTGGAGGATTGGGCCAAAAGAAATCTGATGAGGTTCAATAAGGATAAGTGCAGGGTCCTGCACTTAGGACGGAAGAACCCAATGCACAGCTACAGACTAGGGACGAATGTCTAGGCAGCAGTTCTGCGGAAAAGGACCTAGGGGTGACAGTGGACGAGAAGCTGGATATGAGTCAGCAGTGTGCCCTTGTTGCCAAGAAGGCAATGGCATTTTGGGATGTATAAGTAGGGGCATAGCGGCAGATCGAGGAGGATCGTTCCCCTCTATTCGACATTGGTGAGGCCTCATCTGGGTACTGTGTCCAGTTTTGGGCCCCCCTTCAAGAAGGATGTGGATAAATTGGAGAGAGTCCAGCGAAGGGCAACAAAAATGATTAGGGGTCTGGAACATATGAGTTATGAGGAGAGGCTGAGGGAGCTGGGATTGTTTAGCCTGCAGAAGAGAAGAATGAGGGGGGATTTGATAGCTGTTTTCAACTACCTGAAAGGGGGTTCCAAAGAGGATGGCTCTAGACTGTTCTCAATGGTAGGAGATGACAGAACGAGGAGTAATGGTCTCAAGTTACAGTGGGGGAGGTTTAGATTGGATATTAGGAAAAACTTTTTCACTAAGAGGGTAGGAAACACTGGAATGGTTACCTAGGGAGGTGGAGAATCTCCTTCCTTAGAGGTTTTTAGGTCAGGCTTGACAAAGTGGCTGGGAGATTTAACTGGGAATTGGTCCTGCTTTGAGCAGGGGGTTGGACTAGAGATTCTGGGGTCCTTCCAACCCTTTATTCTTGTCTTGATCGTTTATTTATTAGTGTATGGGCAATACAAACAATTTGTAACCCAAACCCTTTGCCAAGGACTAACTGCATTGCCATTAGCCACACACCAAATATATCCGCAGAGTAACCATGCTTTCCTCTACAGTCAAGTGAAATGGATCTGGATCCACTAGGATCTAGAAGGAGATAGTGCTGAAGCCCTCACCTTCCACTGTGTTGCATCTGGAGGGGAACAGCAGAAGGCTGGAAACATGGAGGTTCATGGATCAGATTAATGTCCTGCAAAGTGCTCAAACACCTCAGTGATGGGCACAGTATAAAAATCTGAATAGAACATAACTAACTGAGATCAGGGAGTATGGGATAGAATGGGAGATAGCAGGAACTGGACTGATTATAGGAAGGAGCAACAAGGATCAAGCCTTGATGTCAGTGGGAGTTTAAATAACAAAAGTTGAAAGATGCAACTGAGATCCACAGAGCAGAATGGAAAGGAGAATGTTGCCCCTAGTTCAGTCTGCCTGAGCATGCTGGTTTGTATTGGGAAGGGTGTCTTAACAATCAGACAGTGCTTTTCTAAAAGCTTTAGAATCTGGCGGATGCAGCAAAGTCTGTGAGAATGCTAATTACAGGAATTTTCAATATACATGGATTTCCAGTGTCCCTGAAAAGTCTAACTGAACATTCAGATAGGAATCCAAGATATCTGGCACAAGAGAAAGCAAGCAAAAATGACATAGCAGATGTTGCTGAAAGACCTAAGAGGGAAATAAAACTTTGTGGTAATACACAAATTTAAATAATACAAGTAAATAAATAAATAATAATGCATCTCATTGGCTTTATAGAATTAAAGCAAAAACTGGCATATACCAGTAAGTACCATTTGACTCTAATTTTCAGGAACAATGGTAAGTTTCTCATTATGGCCTTCACCAGCAAAGCACTGAAGTATGTGCATAGGAGTAGTCCCACTGAAACCAGTGTGCAGCAGCTGCCCACCTATCCCTGATCTCAAATGGGCTAGTACACTGTTTCCCAAACTTGGGATGCCGCTTGTTCAGGGAAAGCCCCTGGCGGGCGAACCGTGGCCAGTGGGAGTCGCGATCGGCTGAAACTGCGGACGCAGCAGGTAAACAAACTGGCCCGGCCCACCAGGGGCTTTCCCTGCACAAGCGGCGTCCCAGGTTTGGGAAACACTGGGCTAATAACATGCTTAAAGTTAAGTAGGTGCTTCAGTGGTTTGTTTTATCTGGACTTATGTAATAAATGCAAAGTATTTGTGGCTTCTTGGATATCTGACACCTGCAACTGTTGCATACGGCCCCAAGGAAGAGATGGCTGAGCACTGCTCAACTTTCTTTAGACTCATAGCAGAGATCAAAATGGTTGAAAGTGACAGAATGTCTTCTGGTACCATCATTGTTGTCATCGTAAGTGTAAATAGTTCCTTTCTTCCCAAACAATCTCAGCACACATTGCAAACATACAAGACCACTCACCAGGGCTGGATTTAGGGGCAGGTAACCCAGGCAACTGACTGTGGTGTGGGACTTAGGGGGTGCCAGACTCAGGGTACCGTTTTTGGTTTTAGCGACGAAAGGGAAAATAGAATGTTTCAGGTATTCCCTATGTGGATTCATTTTTCACTAACCTCCTAGAACGTTCTGGACCTTTGTAGAATCTCGTGGAACCTTGCAGACTTTCTGAGAACTACATTTTCCTTGAACCTCCTAGAATATTGTCAGCCATGCCCTCGTGGGTATATATGGGGCGGGGCGTTGCCAGTCAGTCAGTGAGATATAAGAACAAAGTGAAGTGAAATCCTAGCTGCGATATTGTGAACCTTGTTTTATTGTGTAATTATGAAAGTGTACTTGTGTTTTAAGACTTGAAGAGTGTAAGTAGTGACTAATAAAGGACATATTTAATGAGATGCTGTGCTTTAATTCACCAGGGTAAAGGCAAGAAAAGCGACCTTTTGAACTAAAGGACAAGGATTAACATTCTATGGCTGTCACCTACTGTAACACTATTTAATACTGGTCCACCCAATGTTGGTGCACAATTCACTTTCTTGATGTTAGTACCTTCCAGTTATTCTTAAAATTAAAAAGTTTCTATAAGCTTAGAGAAAACAAATTTTATTTGCTTATACATGGCATGAATAAATACAGATTTACAGATTCTAGTGTGCAAATTTATTGTCTTATATGACAGGGATAAATCATGCATTTAAATTGTGCATTGAAGTCGTGAAGTGGGCTACAAATGCAATATAAACTAAGGTATTCAAAAGTTTAACAAATGGAGGGGGGAAGCCGAAGACGTTCCTTGCCTGGGGTGCCATTTGGTCTAGGACCGGCCCTGCCACTCACTACAGTTGCCTCTGGTAGGCGGAGGGGGGAGGGGCAGTGATCAGCCCTCAAACAGCGAAGCGCACAACTCAGGGAGAGGGAAATGTTAGCCAAGGAAACCAGGATAAATCCCTACTCCATGGGATTTTGATGTTCATGTAGAGCTGTCAGGACTTGTGTTTTTATCATTTAAAAGACACCTCCATGATAAAGTGTAGGGTACTCTGCTTATCTACCTCAGAGGCAAAGGGCACAAAGCAGACTTAAAACTCGTATTAGAGGCCTAGATTGAAGCTAGTGTGGGTATGTCTATTCGAGCTGCAGTCACACCCCGTGATTGCAGTGTAGACATGCCCTCAGACACGACTGAGATGTCACCTCTGCCTCCATTCCACCAAAGATAGCAGTCCTGACTGCCCATTTGTAAATTTTACAAAGGAGCATCTTTGCACTCTTTCCTGTATCCACCCTTTATGGAAGGGAGGCACTCTCTGCAAAGCCACCTCCGTTGAATTTCATTATTTGCATACTGTTTCCATCTTGAGCATGTATTTATGTGTGTTTTGTTTTGCTATGTGTTTATATTTTATATAAAAATAAAGTGTTTTTTTAAAATACCTCCTAAAAACTCTCTTCTCTCATGAGGGCTACAAAAAACTCAGCAATGGTTAGGCTACCGCTTAACATGCTGACTAGTAGTAGGAGGCATGGGGCAAATGGGGCAAAGAAGCAGGGCAGGGCTTTTGAAAATGGAGACAAGAAGGTTGAAGTGATGTGTTGAAAGTGGGGTTACCAGTGGACACATTCAAATGAATGGGGAGGGAGGATGCAACAGGGTTAAAGTGACAGGAGAGGAAAATAGTGATCAGGACGTTTATGTATTTGACGTACACGGTAAAGGCACAGTCATAAATAATGAACCAGCCTAGCCAACTGTGGTGCTGAGTTTGTCAGGAGAGACAACTCCAAACTCACCGGTAGTCAAAACCTCACTGAAGTAGGCCCGGGATGATCTCCAGGACTAGCTGTGAGGCTGCAGAGAACATTATTCCTGCAGCCGGGCTGAGAATTTAAACGTCCCTCCAATACACAGCAAAAGGCTTCACCTGCCTTAAACCGACCCCAAATAAGATTGTAGATTGACGAGATTTGTGGCGATGTGCTCTTGTTGCGGTACAAACTGCGAGGCTGCAGAGAAGGTTCCCGTTGCAGTCCGTGAGGATCTGCAATTAGCTCTGATCTTTGTCAGCTTGCCAGGGTCACACAACAATACAGCGGGTTTGCAAGACCCCTCGTTCGCTTCCTGGTGTCACTGTGTGGTTGCAAACTTTAGAGTGTTTGGTGAGTGAAAACAACTTTTAAAAGCCCCCCTAGCCCCGTGTGTCAAACTTCCTCTGGTTTATACAGAGCAACTGAGCTGTTCCTAGGCTGGAGCCGGGAACTCCCCAGCGGAAACCTTACACCCCGCGCAGCTCAAATCCAGCGCTCTTTGCAACTTTGATGGGGAAACCTGAGCCGCCCTGCAAACGTGGCGATTCAGCCCCCTCCGGCAGGCACCGAGCCTCCCCTGCCCAATAGCAAGCGCTGTAACATCTGGCGGCAGAGCAACCTTTCCTTGCAAACTCTCGCGTGACTGGTTGGGGGGGAGGAAGGCTGAGGGGCTTGTGATCACAGTCTGCAGTGGGTCATTTGCAACTTGCAGTTGCATTCCTAGGGCTGCCTGGGCGATAGACTCTCAGCAACAGCTGGTATGTTGCAAGGGGTGCTGGTGGCGAAGTACAGCTCCACGCTTGCTGTCTGTCCAGAGGTGGGGAGTGCGAGTGGGAGGTGAGGGGTACCAGGCTCAGCTGCTGCATGTAGGGACCGGTACTAAAGGTCTCGCGCGTGCCGGTGCTTTTGGAGGTGATGCAGCAGGTTGGATGACTTGATCCATGTGTCCTACGTTGACATTTCGTCTCCCCTGATTCCTTATTCGTAACAAGCTCATGTAGCACTTTTCTCTCCCTTTCTTTCCCCCGGGCTGTGGCGGATCCCGCCTTGCTAGGACCAGAGAAATGGGCTTCCAGGCTGCCTGCTGGTTCGTGCTGCTGCTTTGCACAGGAGGGTCACTCAGCAAACCCACTCTCAGGAAGGAGAGGGTCGTTCATCCAGACCCTCAGCTCAGCGATCAGCTGCACGAAGATAACCAAAGCTTCCAGTATGACCACGAGGCTTTTCTGGGCAAGGAGGAAGCCAAGACTTTCGATCAGCTCACCCCAGAAGAAAGCAAAGAGAAACTAGGGTAAGATGGGCTCCTAGGAGAGGAAGGGAACGGCCTCTCCAAGGAGATGAATTACAGGGACCCTGCCGCATTAGTTTAGTGCATAACTTTTTTTTAAAAAGTGGAAATGCGGGTATCGAAATAATAATAGGGCGTTGGACCAGCAAGAACCTGCAAGTGTTTCTGTAATTGTAGGCTGGCTGAGCGCGAGCTCTTGAAACCTCACGAGCTTTAACTGGAGAGGGAAATGCTTTCTGTGGCTTACACCCGTGTTGCAACAGCCCCTAGTGTAAGAAAATAGAGGCTTTCCCAGCCTTGGAGCCTCACTTACTGCAACAGTGGGAGAGAGGACAGAGGAGGCGTGTCCCCCGCCCCAGGAAGCGCCGATAACGTGGCAGAGGGGAGGTCCCGCTGTATCACTGCATAGTAGGGAAAGGATTATTTCAGCGGAAAAAGAGCTGGAAGAAGCTTCAGAGACAAAAGTTTCAATCTTTCTTTCTCTTTGTGTTTTTGTAACGGAAACTTTGTACCAGAGCTAAGGCCAGGCGCGAAGGGTTGTGTGGCACTGGTCAGGAGTGAGAATTAACTCAAGTGCCGCGGGCGTTATGCAGAGCTCGCAAATCTCTCCATTGCAAGAGATCTCTGGGGACGGCCCAGGAAGGGTTTGCTGAGTGACCGGGCTTTCTCGAGCCGATCTCCAGTGGCTCTAGTCATTTCAGAGCGCTGCCCATCCACTCCCAGGGGAAAAGTTGCCTGCCAGAATTGAACTTTACAGGGTGACATGTGTTTGACCGCAGCCTCTCCTCCCCGAGCCCACACTGATTTTACAAACAAATGCTGAAAACTCAAGGCTTAGTTTCACTCTCTCTGTTTAAATGATCGTTTCTCTTTCTCTCTCCCAGCTTCTCTGGCCTTGCACTGAAGTGCCTCTTCCTCCAGCTGCTGATAGCTACATGTAGCACTGCACCAAGTACTAGATCGACTGTACTATTCAAGCATGCCTTCTCCCATCCCCTGCCTGCACTGCTTGCACCTCCCTTTGCACCTGCTCCCCCTTGTCCAGTCCATTTAAAGTGCAGCTGTTAAAGTCAGGCTGCTGGCCTATTGCGCTTACTGTGTGAGCTGTAGCTCACGAAAGCTCATGCTCAAATAAATTGGTTAGTCTCTAAGGTGCCACAAGTACTCCTTTTCTTTTTGCGAATACAGACTAACACGGCTGTTCCTCTGAAACCAGTCCTCACTTTGCATCTCTGTTAACTGTCTAAGCTTCCTGTTCTCACTTTTGCTACCCTTTACAACTTGCCTGTTGGTGACTTACAATTAAGGCTAAGATTTAGTCATCAGTATTTTTAGTAAAAGTCATGGAAGGTCACAGGCAGTAAACAAAAATTCAGGGCCCATGACCTGTCCATGACTTGAACTATATACCCCGACTAAATGTTGGGTGCTCTGGAGGGGGAATCTGGGGGTGGCCCTAGGATGCTGCTGATGGGAGGGGGTGCGGGGAGGAGGCGGTGTGCAGCCTGGGACAGCCACTGGTGCTGGGGGGGCAGCGCATGGCCCGAGACCACTGCTGGGGCTGCGGAGGGGCAAGACTGCCCCAGCAGCAGCCAGGGCAGCTGGCCTGGGAGCCCCTTGAGCTGTTTGGGTGGCCCTGAGGTCAGTCGCACCCACTGCTGCAGAAGTCATGGAGGTCCCAGAAAATCATGGAATCCATGACAGACTTGCAGCCTTACTTATAATGTTGCCCTCTCCCCTTGCTAACTATGGGTAGCTTTGTCCACCTCTCCCACAGCGTGCCTGTTCTTTCTTCCACGCTGCTCCTTCTTCTTGAGACATGCTCCCTGATCTAGTCCATCGCCCTCTCATCCTTCTGATCCCTGCTTAAGACCTACTTCTGTTCTGACATCTATAGGATGGGTAGGTTTATGGCAGTTGAAGAGAGCTGGTTTTATTGATTTAGTAAAGGAAAAACATTTTCATATTATTTTAAGCCTCAAGTTGTGCATCAAGCTATCATGTAGAACCATATGACTGCATTACCATTAGCCTCAGCCTTCCTCCCCCTTCCCTTGCCGTGTTTGTTATACTTACTTATTGCATCTTATTTCAGATGTGAGCGTAAGCTCTTTGAAGTAAGGACTGTCTCGTAGAGTACTAAGCACAGTGGGTCTGTGATCCTGTTGAGTGATACTGAAATACAAGTAATAATAGGTGCTGTAACAAAAATATTGAAAGCATAATTATCATAAATGGGCAACTTGTCCAAATTATTCAAAGGCCTGGAATTAGTACTCAGTACTCCCAACATAAAAAAGCAAACCGTCTCTCTGACTCACATATATTAACATCTTGGGCTTTCTTAGTTTAAACTGGAATCACTTTTAGGCCTGGGCTACATTTGAAGGTTATTCTAGTATAATTATTGGTATTAAGTTATATATGGGTGCCTTATGCCAGTAGTTATTCACCTTCCCATATAGGAATAGCAGTAAAGGTATAACTGGCACAGCTTTCTTGTGCAGACAAGCCTTTACTACTTTTTCCACAGAAGGAAACAGGAGCTCCATGTAAGTATATATAAATAGCATGAGGTAAATTTAATATTCTAAATCAACACAAAGTGAAATTCAATTTTCAATTATTTCCGTTTTCACCCCATGTATCATGTAGAGGAGATGCAGACAGGCACATGTATAAATGCACTAAACCAGCCCTACAATAAATAGCATACTAAACAGGATACCCAGCAATCTTCAGTCTCTCTCACAAGAATACTGCCAATGCATTGTGGGGATTGAGGGGATAATTTACCAATGGTCGTGGTGGATTCTCCATCACTGGCAATTTTAAAATCAAGTTTGGAGGTTTTTCTAAAAGATCTGCACTAGGGGAGTTTATGGTCTGTGTTATGCAGGAGATCAGACTAGATGATAACAAAGGTCCCTCCTGGCCTTGGAATCTATGAATTCCAGAGTTGTGGTTCCCCGGATGAAGAAGGCCCTACCTCGCATACTTTCTAGATTATACTCGATGAAGTTCAGCATCACCAAACCATACTGGGATGCAGGGCAGCAGGCACTCTTTCAGGCATTCTGATCCTATACAGGATTCCATTACCAATACTTAGTCATATTAACTTATCACCAATAAAAAGCAAGAACAGCACTAAGCTGAGGACCTGAACTCTGGTCTCTGGCACATATGGTTCATATTATGTCCATTTTAAACTGAGCTTCAGTTAGGATATTACACCTCTCCCTTTGTTTGTCCCCTTGGACACAGAGATCTGAGGAACAAGAAAGTGTACTGGAGTGTTGCTCAGTGACTAAATATCACCTAAGGTAGGACAGCTTCCAACATGCTTCTCCTGTCTCCTACTGTCCATACTGCCTGGGTTTTGAAAGCTCAATCCAGAACTGAGTGCAGCCTTGAAAGAGGAAGTTCCACAGTTTAATACAGGAATACCCTAATACAGAGATGTTTGAACCATCTTTTCGTTTGTCCACCTCCTCCTCCCTAGTTATTTACATGTTGGTTTCTTTAAAATGGATGATGTTGCCATGCCTTTTCTAATCTCTACTGTTCTCATTTTCAGAATCAGACGCACCCATTGCTCTTTGATTTTCATCGCATTGTTGATCGTTAACCATTAGTGTAATTTGATTCTGCACCTGCCTTTCTTTGGCAGCATCCAAGAGTCTGTACAATATTTAAAGAAAAAAAATCAGCCTTGGTATCTCAAATTTCAGACTGCTCTGGGGCAGGATGGTTTGTGACTTCCTGTCCAAGCAGAATTTCAATACTCCCTGATAAAGAAAACATCTACTGCATTTTTGCTATCAAACAAGTCTCTCCCCAACTCATCTGCCAACAGACTAACTGCTGCTTGCTCCCAGTGCATTTTGGGTAGCTGGAGGTTTGGTAGATGGACTCCTGGCCCCCTGTTGTGGGGTTCAGACTCTTTTTTCCCCAATGATGGGAGAATTCACAGGAAATTCTCATAAGCGTTTGCATCACTCTATATGAGAGTAAGATGCATAAAGCAGAAATGGAGCATAAGCTAATCTCTAGGGCTCCAACTTCAGCTATATTACAGAGGCATAGTTTTGCTTTTTGATTGATGGGTTATGTGGAGTAGGATGCCTTCTAATTCAGTCATTTGTCAGATTTGTCCTGCATTTTGGGGCCCCCTGTCGTTGGGTTTGTTTCACAGGAAATCCACCACTGGTGAGGAGGTGTGATGGGGGTTGCAGGGAATCCATGAAATAGAGGGTGGCACATAGGGAGCTTGTGGGAGGTAATGGAGCGATGTAAGGAATCCTTGTTGTGTGCAATGTGCTTGGCCTATCAAAGCCACAAAGAATAGAATTTAATGTGTGTCACATACTTAAGGGAACATTTGGCCTGATCCAGCATTTCTGAGAATGGTTTTGCTTATACTCCTGGGGGAATTCTGTGTCACTGCATATGCACAGAATTCACGTTCCCCGCAGATTTCTTTGCTTCCCTGCAGAAAAATGACTTCTGGTGGGGAAGCAAAGGGAAGCCCACAAGAGTGGTCATGTGCCTCTCTCCGGCAGCACAGGCTGGTTGGTTCGGGTGCCTGGAGCAGCCGGTAAAGACGTAAATCACCACTGGGATGTGTCTGGGAGGGTTGGGTAGTCGTGCATGTGAAAGGGAGAGAGACACTCTGTCCCTCTTGCTCGCTATTGTGGCATGCTTGCAATGGAGAGGCAGGGCTTTGGGGTGTTTCTGAGTTTGGGCATGGGGCAGAGCAGAATGTAGCAGCCTGCCTGCTTAGTGAATTGTTCCCACTGTCTTTGTGAATTCCCCCATGAGTATAAAACAGGTGTAAAAGGCTCCTTTATGTTACCAGGACAGGATGGCCTTATAAATGCTTATGGTGCTTTAGTAATTAGAACTGGTCTAAATTTTTGGACTGAAAAAAGTTCCTATCAAAATGTGCTCCATGAACAGTACGGTACTTACCTTTCTGGAGCCAATATAAATTGTGAATT